CCCTGTGTGGGGGGCTCTATAGGGGAGTGGGGTCCCTATACCGTGCATGGGGGGCCCTGTGTGTGGGGGCTCTATAGGGGAGTGGGGTCCCTATACAGTGTATGGGGGGACCTAAGTCTAGGGTGCTCTAAGGGTGTGTGTGAGGGGGGCTGACTAGGCAAGTGGGGGGGCTTTAAACAGGGTTCTATAGGGGCATCTGGGTTGGGGAGTCCCTATGGAGATCTCTGTAGGATGTATGGGGGTCCTGGGCTTGGGGGGGCTGTCTAGGGGTGTAACAGGGAGCTAGAGAGGCCTCTGGGGACCTCTGAGGGGGCAGAGAGTGGGGGCCCCTGGCAGGAAGTGGGGCACCCTGGGGAACAGGTTACAGACCCATGGAATGAGGGTGTCAGCTGGCCCTCCCCTGCCCCCCAAGGCTCCACCATGGGCTGTTGTTCCCTTCTGTCCTGGGGGGATGCTGTGACTCCCCAGGGCTGGTGGAGGGGACCTGCAGGCACTTGGTTAGGTTCTGTAGGATGCCCTGGGAGAAGGGCCACTGACCGATCCCAGTAACCAGCAAAGAGCAGCTACAAACTGCCAAACGCTGTGGCCTCCGGCCCGCCACACAGTCCCTGTTTTGTGCTCACAGCCTGAGCCCAGTGGACAAACAGGGAATGACTGTGCCACGGAGCCCTTGGTGCTGTAAATACTGGCCCAGTGTGATGGGTTGGGCTGTTGGGGCAGGGCAGATCTACCGGGGGGTATAGCAGGATTCGGTAGGGCGGGGATCCCAGGCTAAGTTCTTTGTTGCTCTGCTGTAGCAGGGCCCTTCCTGGCTAAGTCAAAGGAAGCCACCCTCAGGCTGGCGTAAGCACGGAGGTTATAATGGTACAACTATACTAGTCAAATCAGACCAGTGTTAGACACGTCTCCCAGCCCCTAGAGGGGCCGGTGTCGGAACCGGGAGGGATTCGCTGTAGCAGAAGCAGTTTGCTTTGGGTTTCCACAGAGTGCCTGCTGGACCGGGGATGGCCCCTCGTGGCTGAGAGGAGGAGCACTATCTGGAAGCACTGCAGGTCACTGTGCCAGCCTGCGGGGAAGATGAATGGCTGGGTTTCACACACACTCTGCCTGTCCGTCATCCTGGTGTCCCTGTTGAACAATGTCCTTGCTTGGAGTAGTCAGGATCTCCATTGTGGAGGTAAAGGGGGCGTTCCCAGCTCGGTTGCTGTGTAGCATTTGCACCCCAGGCCTCAGTTTCCCTATCAGCCAAACGGGGATTGGGTTAGTTAACGCTAAGTAAGTGCAAATTATCGTTAGGGCAGCCGATCCTCTCTCAGGCTCTGACTCCATTGGGCCAGGCACAGGGCAGACCCTTAGAAAGAGACCAGCTTAGTCGCTGCTCCCCGACGGGCCGTGCACTATCGAACTGTTGTTGCTGACGTGCCCAGGGCTGCAGGGGGCAGGTCGGGTAACTGCCCTTTGCTTCTCTCCCTCTGATTCACCATGTGTGACTTCTCTCTAGCTTGTCGGGCCCTGGTGGACGAGCTGGAGTGGGAGATCTCCCAGGTGGACCCCAAGAAAACCATCCAGATGGGGTCGTTCCGTATCAACCCGGACGGCAGCCAGTCGGTCGTAGAGGTAAGGTGTCTTGCGCTTGCCCCGCCTGGTGCCTCTCTCCAGCCCTGGGGCGGCAGGTGGATGGCTGAAGGGTCAGGTGGCTGTAGAGCCCGACTGGAAATAAGAGCCAGGTGTTGCGGGGAGAGGGACGGAGAAGGGACGGGGCTCTGAAGATCCCACTTAATTCATTTTCCTCCCCCCGAAAGACTCCAAGGTGGGCAGAGCCACCCACTGGATGCTGGTAGCCACGGAAGGGGGGTTCCTGGTCTGATCGCGGACGCTGCAC